TTCTTTAGCTTCCGGAATCTGCCCTCTTAACTGTAGGCAAATTTTGCCATCATAGCTCAAAAAACTTTTTGATATCTCGCATTCTGGCAAGTCTACCTGTGCATCAATCCACCGTCTCCAGTTCTTCTGTGGGCCTTTTCCTTGCATTTCCAGAGCAATTGCGCAACCTACTTTCTAATCTCAATTGGTTACCAGCATCTAATGAGATTGTAGATGGCCCTATTAAACTGAAAACAGTTACGCCGACAGCAGTATCAACAACGGGTCAATCTCTTCCCGAGACTCTAATCGACTCTCAACATGAAGCTGAGCTTTCTTCTGCTCCAAAAACGACCTTCGATTTTGTAAAGCCGACACAAATTCTCCTACTTGACGGAAATAGCGAGACGCGCGCTCTGGTAAGCTGTCGTAAATGGACTTATGTCATTGATAAGTTGATAATTTCGCAAATCTTTTGCAGGATATCTCATTTTGAGTGCTATTTCCTAACTCATATTTACCATTTTTATTCATTGTCCTCTACATAAGTGGGTTTCCCCAATTTAAATTCGCCATTTTGCAATGATTTATGCAATCTTCTTAGGATTCATAGTGGATTCTCTTAAAGGACCGACTATCACATTGGCTACCAGCTTAATTTATCTCATCTATGTCCTTGATGCTACTTCTCAAAGAAATTGACATAATTTATTAAATTTTATGATCTTTCTTTTATCCCAAATTTAATATACTGGTCTAACCGTATTTTCCCAACTTATATCTGTTGCTAAGTTGACCTAGATGAGCACTCCCCGTCCGTAGTCCTCTCCCATACTAGCCTTTTTAGCACGCTGTAATTTGGTTGTAAGACTCGTAAGGCTGACCGCAAGACTGAGTCCAATCTCACCAAAGGAGACTGCGATCAATACAGAGACCACCCCGTAATGATATTTCGATTTAATTTAGTTTGTTATCTCACTAAAATAGTCTAACTAAATTATTAAAACACGAGGCATTTTCATATATAAATCATCCATTTATATTTATTGCCATTTTCCTAGCCCTTACCACATCACAACTGTTAGTTAAATTTAATTTGCAGCAATCTCCCAGCACTTACATTATCTATAGTCGTATCGAGCCTATCATTGGCTCTTCTTGACTGTGACCTCTTGCATGAAGCCAATTCACCTGCTCGACCCCAATCTAAGGCCGGCATTCTCACCGCTCAAGTTCTTAAATATGTGGCCCTTTTAACTCGACTGATTTTTTCGTGGGCCCCATCTTTCTTTTGGTTGCTGGCTCATGCTCTACGGTCCCACCACTGCGCTCTATGCTTGCCTCTATATCAAATATTTGCCGCATCAGATAGGCCGTGGCAACTCTCGCTGTTCGTATGACACAATTTGATGCCTTTTGGCGTTATATTGTCCACTGTCCAACCCATTTTATACGTGTCAATCGCGCGCTGCCTCACTGTGTGCGGCTTCCACGTATGGTTGAAGAATCAGAGACAACGCCACTATTTATTTTCGCATCTAGTCGGATCATATTATTTGCTCATCGAAAGGACCTCAGATTTGTATCGAAGTGGGCGAATAAACAAATGTCTTTTTTGTACGTTTTCTGATGGAAAGAGGTAGTAGTTTTCGATGAATCTCAAGCGGCCCATCCACATTCGCTCTAACTGCAACCGTTAGCCTCGGTTTCACGCGTGTTCCACCTCTACGTATGCATCTTATCCCAGCATTTCCTAGTTGGTAAGGAAGATTGGACTTCCGTGTAAGGAGTACCGTCAGCGCCACCTACTCGCATTGTGCGTCCTATTCTGGCTTCTCTTCCAAGTGTATATACCACCCAATCAAGCCGACTCGTCCTATTATAGTCCCGCTTTTCTTCCTACCATTAACATATACAAGTTTTATCCATATTTAAACTAACGTTCTTTGTACGCCTGGTCACTATACATTGTAACCACTTCAGATTCTTCCTTACTTCGTATGTCCTTTCAACGTTTTTAGTCCTTTAAAAAGGGATTTATATTTGTATATATAACAAAAGGCCGTAATTTTGTATTTTATCATATTATGTTAAAATCGTATTGGCAATCGACTCTACAGCTATTCTGTTTTTATATTTTTATTAGTCTTTAGGGACTTTAACCTTTTAAGATCTAACTAATGTTCCTGTGTCTTGAAAATGTTTTTCACTTCATCAACTTATCTTTAATCAAGCCATAAATATATGCTTTTGGAATTTCAACTGATATAATTTAAAAAATGTACACTTACTAGATTTTGAAAAGGTACTTCGTTGTTTTAGTGGATAGAACTAATATTTCAATATTTTATTCGACCTAGGATGACTACAGTTCTATTAATTATGTATCGATAGTCTCGCAGTATACACTACTCATTCGTGTATTGGGCATTTTGGTTCATACTTTTGCCAAAGCCTTTGGACATTCTGAATTATTGGACTAAAGTAGATCTATGCTCATCTTATTTATTCTTCCTTCTCTTATCCAGCTTCTTTTTTTATCCGTATATTCTATTAATATTTTTAACCACTTGTTTTTCCCTTGGTCGTTTCGCGTTATTTACGCATTCTTATTCTTATCCGTATTTATTACATGTTCTGTATTAGTTTTATCTCATTTATGCTCAAGCCAGAATTTGCTTTGCCGTCTCTGACAGGGTGAGATTCAACTCGGAACTATCCCAGCTCAGGAGTGGGTTGTTCGTCTCCTTATGTCTCGACTTGGCATGCGCAAACCACATCCTTGTCTCTTAGTCGGTGAGCCTGAGCGGGATACAGAAGCTCTCAGCGATGGGGAGTCAATGGCTTCCCAAGTCATATCAGGGACTTTGAGCCTTGAAACGTCAGACGCTCTACAACGTCGTCGACTATTATCGGCTAAACATATTCGCTTTGATGCATTGGTATGGCTAGGTGCACGAACTCTTTCAACAGAAGCTCTGCTTGATCTTGCCCGGCAGCTGACAGAAAGTGAATTTATTATCCATATTTTATTCTTAGAATCTAACTATATTAGATGTATTCCTTGGTTTAGCTACAGTGACACTTTTATGTATGATACTATTCTTTGGGTAGTGTAATCCTATCTAACCTATGCACTTATCATTTACTTTTGTAGATTGATTTTATCATATTTGACACTAATCGTATTATCCATTACCATACATATATATCTATAAATATGTTGTTTCCGGATTCATTATTTTTCCCTAATACACGCTAAACAATCCTTCTTTTCATACTGCTTGTCTCCTATTCTACTTTTCTTTGGTACTATTTATTCCAAATGAACCTTTGCACTGATTGAAGTATTTTTGAAATCGTTTGTGCAAATTGGTGCTAATTTTAGAAAGACTTAGGAGAATTTATCTCTTACTGCTTCCTCTTACACTTTTTTCGTATAATTACTGAGTCACTCATCAATTGCAGGAAAAATATATGACTATAATGATTAAGGGGAGAGTAAGATGTGCATTCTTCGAATTGTTCCTAAAATCGCGACCAAGTTATACAGACTTGGTTTTACCAGTTTCATTTTGCGGACGGTCATTACTCTTTAAGCAAAAGCAACAATTTTTTGGTCCTCATACTCTTGTTTGGATACATAATTCAAAACCAATTTCATCACTTTTACATTTGATTGATATTCAAACAAACTTGCGCCTTCTAGATGGTCCATCTTTATGCATCACCTGCTACTTTTATTAAAGAAATGATGTGATTTTATTAACCAACTTCAATAAAATTATTTGCACACTTATTGACACTGAAAATTATCTAAGGTGGAAATATTCATTCATTCTAAGACTTCATGAATCTGGATTGAATTATGTGTTATTAACTTATAACTTTCTTGGCCTAGCAGTGAATATTATTTTTTAATTTGAATGTAGAGTATTTTCCGCTATGTTTTGTGAAGGATTTTATTGTTTATCAGTCTTTTTACATAAATAATGATATCTAAGTTATGGCTTGCATTTTCTACATTTTTACTCCATAGTTTGACCCTGTAACCATGATCATTTAATGCTTATTATGGGTGTGCTCACCCTTAATATTCATATTCTTTTGGCCAGTTGTTTACCTATTTAATAATATTTTACTAAATCATTAACTTTGTAAGTAATGTTTTTCTGATATTTTGGAGCCAGAGGTCTTGGCAAAGCTGTGACGCAAGTACTGGGCCTGGGCTATATAAGGAATTATTCAGAAATTCGTCTCGGTGGGGGATATCTAGCTTAAATATTTATTCTATTAAGCTGTTTTTAGGATACCCCTGTTAGTGTCAACGATAATAAGAATAGAGGTGGGTTGACATCGTCGCAACTTAGTCTCGTTTTCAAGGAGACATAGTAGAACACACCAAGTCGGAAGTCGTCTGGCATAGTATTTGTTATAATTCGCAGCATCAGAAAGTTGACTTGGTACATTCTGAAACGTTTCGTCGGCATCATTAGTGAGTTTTATCATTCTCAGCACCAAGCTACGAACTAGTCAAGGAGGCAAGTGAAATCAAATCGTCGATAAACGTTCTTCTGACAACGGTTACAATATCACTCCTTTTTCTGTCCTGGTCTATCTATCTACTCTTTACCATCTTATCCAACTCC